CCCCCGCCCTCCCCCCCGCCCGCCCGCCGCCGGTGCTCACCCGTGACCACGGCCGTGCGGCCACGCAGGCTGCCGATGCCGCCGCACCGCGGGGCCTTCACCAGGTTGTAGTAGACAAGCACGTAGGCGCCCAGCAGCAACCCCGCGCCCAGCAGCAGCGCCTCCATGCCGGCCGCGCCTCCGGGCTCCCGCCCGGGCCCCACGCAGCCCTGGATCGCCGCGCGGCGGCTGCGATCCGCCCCGCACCGGCCTGGAACGGCGCCGGGCGCGCCTCGGCCTCCCGAAGGCGGAGGCGGGCAGGAGGCTGGGCAGGGGTGTGTGTGCGTACGTGTACGTGTGGGCCCTGCGAGCGCCTCCTAGGCGTGCGTCTACGTCCTCTGGGTGTGTGCTCGTGTGGACACCTTCGAAGTGCGTGTGCGCTTTTTGGCCCTGGGAGCGCCCCCTAGGTGTGTGCCAGTCTGAACTACTTCTAGGTGTGTGAATGAACATCTCTGTGTGTGTACTCTAGAGTATGTAGCAGAGTTTCTTCTGGAGAGCTGTGTATACGTGAAAGCTTTTGTGTCTCTGAGGGTGAGTCCAGTCCTAGCTGCCTTTTTCTCAATGAACAAACCCTTCAATATTTTATAATCACACCAGCTCTCAGCTTCTAGGATTCTTCCCTGTTCTCCCCATACAGGCCAGAGACGCGACACTGTATTCAAGGTGGCACCGGCAGTTAAGGGCTGTTATGACTCACTCATTCATCCTCCATCTGTATCTCCCCACTTCTGCCTGTTTCTGAAGGGAAGCAGGAAGACAGAAAGTTAAAATCTATTATTGTTTTTCAGAAGGAAATGTGTCCCTGGAATGGTTCTCACAGGTGGTAGAAGTGGATAAAGAAGCTCCATCACTCAATGGAAGAAGTGACTATGATGGAAGGTGGGTGGAGACAGCTAGGGAGGTATTGGTAAGGGCATTCCTGGCCAGTGATTTGCCAGGGGAAGGGCCTTGCCTGAAAATCCCAGTGCAATTTAGCACCCAGTGTTTGGCATCTATGGTGTGCCCAACCGTGTGAGTGGCCTTGGAAATACTGTGAGGAAGAATATATACTAGTTTCTGCCCTCAGGGAGTTCAAGAAGCCATCAAGGCAGGGTGGGCGGAGTGGTGGAGACAAAGCTAGATGGGTAGATGGAAGCCAGGGGCAGAACTCAGATTTCAGGGGAAGTTTCCTATTTAGCTACACCGTGGCTTCAGGGTTCAGTTGTAGATGCTGCGGGATGAGGTTGGGCATGGAATATTTATTCTCTACCCCTGAGGCAAAATCCTGATACACAAACATGTACCAACTATTTGAATAATGCTGGGAGACACACAGAGATGCTCTCTAAGGAGTAGGAGAATGTCCTCAGGAAAACTTCCTGGAGAGTTTCTCACTAAGGTCTGGGAGGAGGAAAGGATAGTTTGTTTTAATGAGGGTCCACAGGGCTTTAGAATTAAGGTACTGCAGTAGACTTGCCTTCTGATGAGGAACAACAGTTGTAGAGCAGTTGCGATTACAAGTTACATAACTAGAAGTGGCACAGCTGGGTCTAGAGACTGGATTCCTCTATACTAGTCAGGGATCTCCAGAAAAACATCCCTCCTTAGCAGATGCACCACTCCCCTTCCATTGTCCTCTACCCACCTCAGGCTCACCTTTTCCCAACACCTCTCCTCTTCCCCCAACTTCCCTTGGGGACTGTGTACCTGGGAATTAGACCTGTTCGAAGGGTCCCCCACTTGTTGGACTCAGATCTCAGGGAGGGTCCCCTCTAAAGTGTGATGACAGGTAGGACAGACAGGCAGAAAACATAATTTGAAGTATTTTTGGTTTTTATATACAGAATACAGGAAAGTTTCTGTAAAGTCTAAAACATTACAATTACTATGTACATTGGTACTAGTTGTGGGGGTGGGGGGAGAGGAGGGAGCCAGGGGTGGGAGGAAGAGGAGAGAAGTGGCAAGAGAACAAAAAAAAGGAGACAAAACAGGTTTACGACAAAAACGTCTTTGCTACAATAGACAATTTGAGAAAACGCTCTACCACATGTAGTACTGTACACAGTTTTTAAAAACATTGAAAAAATGTCATCACTAGATGTATTTACACAAAATCCAAATACACTTTTCCTTATTTGAAATAAAATAGATGGACAGCCAGAAAAAGAATTCATTTCTCATTTGTCCATAATACACAGTAGCTACCTGTAGTGCAACCGCTGCAGAAAGGGAAAATAACTTGGAGGGTGGGAACCATGGAAGGAGGGTGGGTAGCAATCTTTATATTAAATAAAACAATGATATTGTATAGATTTTGCTGTATGAAAACTGTATTTTTTCTTTTAATATAAAACTATTGTCACTGCCACAAAATAGAACAAGTTTCTGATTATTTTACAACGGCGGGCCAGGCGGGCGAGGGGGAAGGAGCAGGAGGTGGGTAGGGAAGGGTTTGTGTTAGAGGAAGTGTCCAGACCATGGGTCTTCCCCTCCCTGCCCACGCTGTTCCTCAGCTCGGGTCTGCCGCTTTCCCATGAAATGTTGAGTACAAATATATGTGCAAATGCCCCCTAGAACTTGAGAAAAAAAAAGGATTTTTAAAAAACAGTCAAAAGGTTTTCTTCATTTCATGCAAAGATTGTAGTTGAAGGGGTTCTGGTAGAGTATAGAAAACACCCGGGCTTGGTTTGTGTACATTTTTGCATTGCAGGAGTCTTGGGTAGGTGTACAGGCTCGTGGCAGGGAGGCCGCCAGCCCTAGGGAACGGAGTTGGAGCGCAGCACAGGGCCCTGGTGGGGCTTGAGAGAGAGCTTCTCGGCCAAGACCCCATCCTGCAGCAGGCTGGCATCGCCTTTGGGCTGTTTGGTCGCAAACTCAGTGATGCTGAAGACAAACTGCAGGCAGCCCAGCTTGATGTAGCTGCCATGGTGCAGTAAGGCCGTGCCCTCCCAGCCGGCCCCACTACCCCCAATCAAGCTTGAGCTGCTGGCTTTGCAATTGCAGGGTCTCCGCTGCGGCCCCTGGGCCTGGGAACTCATCATGGCTGCCTCCTCACTTGGCTCTTCATCTTGTTTCTGGTGCCGGTGGCGCCCTGGGAATAAAATGGATGGTCACAGGGGAGGAACAATGAGCAGCCAACCCATCTGGGTGTGTGCCAGGGTTGGGCCCCTGCATCTCCCCATTCCAACTGCTACATGACTATGGGTGAGAAACACTCAAAAAGAGCTGGTGGAGTCTGAAGCCCCCAAATAAGTGTGTACACATATGTGGTTGCTCAGCACATCCTTCTCTGTGGCCTTCCCAGGGCCCATGAGCAAGGAGAACTTGGCCAACAGGACTGGCAAGGCAAGAGACAGCAGGTCATTGGCATCCAAGTCAGAATCACCCTGACTGGGGCCTTAGCTTTGTGGCCACAGGCCTCTGCTCCAACTTACTGATGACACTCTGCACTTTGGCAACAATACTGCTTGGGGGGGTTGGCGGGGTCTTCTCAGAGAAGTCACACGAATACAGCACATTGTCCACCGTTGTCCCATGCTCACTGTAGTTTAACAGCTCATAATGTTTGGTATTCTAAGGAGGAGGAGGGAAGATAAGATGTGTGGTCTGCTGGGAGGGGCCTAGGGTTAAGGGGAGAGAGGACATACAGAGAAGGCTGTGCTGCTCTACCTAGGGAGCTCTCATTTAGGGGAGCCCATAATGCCCCCCACCCATCGTCCTTTCAGAATGGGGCTCTTTGGGAAAGCCCACCTTCCTAGTGCTCCCCCTCCCCCCCGCTACTTTGTCCCCTCAGCACTGGCTCCTGTTGATAATAAATTCACTGGCACATGATGATGAAACTCACAGGGACACACCCACAGGGCTTGGCTTTCTTCTATGCTGGTCCCCTCCCCTGCTTTATTTATTTATTTATTTAAAAGATGACTGGTAAGGGGATCTTAGCCCTTGACTTGGTGTTGTCAGCACCACGCTCACCAGTGAGCTAACCGGCCATCCCTATATGGGATCCGAACCCATGGCCTTAGTGTTATCAGCACCATACTCTCCCGAGTGATCCACGGGCCAGCCCCTCCCCTCCTCTGCTTTAGAGTGGGATCTCCCTGCTATGCCTGTGACCAACCTCAGGAGAAATGCTAGACCCGCTCCTAGGGGTAGCCATGGTAGGATGCCCTTTTACATCAAGACTCTTCTCCTCCAGGAATGACAGGGAGGCAAGAAAAGGAAAGGGCCCCCCCCCCCCCCCGCCCCAGGGCACTGAACTTTAAAACCCCAGTGCCCGGGAGAGGCATCAGGTTGGGAAAGTTCCTTCCCATGCCTCACCTCATCATAGAATATGCAGGCATGTTTCCCAGACACATAGTTACAGTGACCGTAGTTTGTAAGGCACACATCCATGTCAGCTCCTGCAAGGTAGAAGGCAGAGAAAAAGGGAGGGAACAGACTGTAAGTATATATGTGGAGGAGGTAGGGGAAGCAGTTAGCTTCTGGGTGGGTGCTTGGAGAGACCTTAAGGGGTGGATAGCTCAGGGCCCTCTCCTTATATTTTTGAACAAACACTGATGGCTTTTCCAAGCCCCTGCTAAAGAACAGTTGTCCCTGCCAGTTGATTTGCTTTAGAACATGTGGCTGCTATCCAGAGGGTTCTAAAGAGAAAGGGAAATTTTCAGATTAAATCTGTCCTTCTGTATCAGATATGTGGCTAACTGAAGGTTGGGTATGTGTGAGTCCATCACTTTTTCAAAGACCTCCAGGGACAAAGCATTTGGCCTCTCCTCCTGGCCTTCCCTGCAGTGTTTAAAATGCCTCCCTGAGCAGCAGTCAGAGCTGACTTTCATCTCTGCTGATGTCACATTGGGCACAGACAAAGCAAAAGAGCCTGAGCAAGGGAAGACAAGCACCTGATCATCTCCTTTCTTAGTCTCTCTTGTCTGGACATCTACTGGGTTAAACCAGTCAACTCTGGAAAGGGCTTCCCTCACCCCTTTCTAGCTTCCGTGGGTAAGGGTGTTGACCTTTAGGGCTGAACAGATTCAGTACCTCTCCCAGCTTCCTGGCTGGCTCACCTGTCCCGATGTAGAGGGTTCGATAGCACATGTTCACAGCTCCTCCCAACCCTAAGAGAGGGTAGAACACAGCTCGGGCCTGTACC